GTCGAAGTCGGCAGCCCGCGTGCCCGAATCGCACGCCTAAGCCCACGCGTTCCACCCACAAACCGGGACGTTTTCGAAGAACGCTGGGGCGGTTGTGGTGGTCTCTCCAGGAGCGTGCCCTTGGTTTTGGGAATCGCGCAATGCCGCTTAGGCCAAAACCGCTGGCAGATCTCCACGCGCCTTTTTTTTAATCTTGTCCTGCGCTGTGTTTCTTCAGGAGGACAGGAACGGCACCTTCAATACAGGATTGGTAGCGGAGTTTGATGGCGGACTATACCCCTTTTCAAGACGAATGATATTACTTGTACTGGTATTTTTCATGGGCATTTCTGCAACAGTCAGGGGCCTTTACGTGGAGTCACATTAAAGCGCTTGATAATTCCTTGTGGCTCTAATCTCAAAACCTAAAATAGACTAATTGAAAACACTGCACTGTACATGTTGTGTAATGCTTCCATACCCTTCTTTTAAAAAAAAGAATTACGTATCAAAAGTGCAATTGCACAGTGAAAGAATAAACACGTGTAGAAAAATATGAGAGAAGCAAAAAAGGAGAAAATGAGTTCCTCGATTTTTTGAAGGAGAGACACAAAAGGGTTTGGCTGTATGTGTGCTTGCAGAACTAAACCGCTGGTGGTAGCTCAGAGTTTCTTGGCAGTACAGCCTCCTGAAGACAGGGTGATGTTTCACCAGCAAGTTGGCTTTTTTTCTGGTTTAGGAGTACAGCTGCAATTAGTGAGTAGCTCTGTCTTATTAAGGAGGGCAGGGGGGAAATGGGGGATTGCGCTTCTGCCTAACATCGCTCTTTTGGCAAAACTTTTGAAGCGTGCCTAAAGCGGAAATAAAGCTACAGACGCAGAAACAGAAAGAGCGGAGGCCACAATGTACCATCCTATAAAATCACAAAGGTAGAAAAGTTAGAGGAGGATAAAGGAAGTTTTTTTGATGGACACAACTGCCTTTAAGGAAGAAAGTGTTCTTTGGTTTTGTTAAGAAACTGGGGGGGGGGGGGGGGGGAAGGGGTGTGAGAAAAGACCCTTTCAGAAGAGGGAAGGTTATTGACTGCGTAGAGGAAAAATCTTTTTGGCTATGATAAGAGTGGAAAGAAAACCGAATACTGTTACTGAGAACTGAGATAACTTTTGCCTCTTTGAAGTTCTTTCTTAGAAAGACAACATTTTAAAAAACACACAACAGTTGATGCTTGCCTCTCCTTATCTCACATTTTAAATGAACAAAGGGAGGATACATACAGTCCAAAAGTTAAAAAAAAAAAAAAAAAAAAGAGAAAAAGAGGTTCAGAAGGGAGAGTAGTGGGATAAGGAAGGGAGAGACCAAAGCGTGACCTAAGAAGAGGCAGAACAGCGGTGTAATTCCTATTACACCCTCCTGTGCAAAATGGGGAGCTCTAGACCAGAACTTCACTTGCTTTTTTTAACATAGCCTTTTAATTAGTCAAATACAATTACTGAGACTAGCTAAGCAGCTGATGTTCTATTACCTTCTGCCACGTTTTTGTATTAGTCATTGGAATACCATAATCCTACCAATACAAATGTGAAACTGGAAGTTTCGGCTGTTGTACAGCTATCCCTGGAGCCCTGTTGCATCAAGGAAATCCCAAGAAACTTCAGACTGCACAGTTAGAGCACCAGCTGCATGACTGAGCTACAATGACCAGCAGCAAGAGAGTTGATGCAGACACTGAATTTGCCAGAGTTTCGAAGACTACCCCCAGGAAAGGAGCAGGAGCACTTCATGCCTCCTAGAATGATGTTTTCAGTCTGATTGAGAAATACAGCTTAGCACTGAATTACCTCGATCTTTGTTTTCAAGAAATTATTTTCAGCCTGAAAAGTTACAATTTCAATTCAACAGAAAAAATAAAGACATGATTTCAGAGCAGAGAGTTATTAGCAGTGGGTGGAGAATTAATGCTGTACTCACAGAATAATTACAGCTTGACAGCAATATATCAATCAAGGTGATGTTTTTGTCCCCCAAATTTGTCTTAGCAATCTTTTTTTACTTTCCTTCCAAACCTCCACCCAAAGAAAGTCTTTGCCTAGGCACAGGCAAGTGCTTGGATCTTCATATGTTTTTTTTTTAACAAGTACTTTGTGGTTTTAGTATATTTTTCAGCCTGTCACTGATGATTTTGTTCAGAAGAATTTCTGGTAGCATGACAGGGAAGTGTATTTGTAATGACAAGAACATATGCCACGTGTATTCAAACACAACAAAGATGTATTTGTCAGGGTGGTAGTGTCTATGAACATAAGCTACCCACAGCCCTGTTGTATGAGTCTCCTTCAGCTAAGTAAGAACCTTGTGACTACAACCTGAGCATGGCCACCTGCAGAATCTCTTCGCTCACTACGCACGTTACAGAAGTCCGCTTCAGTTGCGAC